TAAAACAAAAATTTTTTTTTCTTATTATTATGTATAAGAAAAATATTTATTGCATAATAACAAAGCCAGTATTTTGATAAATACCATTCACATTAATTTAAAAACATTTTTTTCGTGAAAGGCAAGGAAAATATATGTATGTGTGTATATATGGTTATCAACTACTGTAACTGAATTTGTAATGCATTTGTCATGAAATTCTTTACGCTTTGTTGATTTTAATGAAAGTTTTAAAAATAACCATTCGTTATAATATAAATATATTAATTGCTTTTATCAAATATTAGGCTATATCATTCTTTTACTATCAATCAGTTAATTTATTGTCTAATCGATTTTATAATTACTAGTTTATTTGGCATGATTTTCGAGAAGATTATTAAAAATATTTATAAATTTTATATATGTATATATAACACTTTTATCTTTTACATTTTTCTTGTTATTGCTTTCAGATGTGTGACATTTATTTATATTATGAATCTAAGACTCTAATGAAGTGACATTTATAATGTAATTTTTATTAATTCTATAAATTTTTTTAATAAAAATCTTTGATTTTTAAACTAATTTATAACCTAAAATCGTAGATCCACATGATTTCGTAAGATTTACACGCAATCTTCTCCAGAAATACCTGCTTTCCTGTACTACTTTCCCGCTATACACCTCAGGATAATCAATGCTCTAGCTTATCCCATAACAAAAGAATGGAAGAAAATAATATATATATATTTTTTTTAAATTATAAATTTTATAAATTATCTTCTTTTTAATGAAATAAAATTAAGATAATTTTAAAAAATTAATTTTAAAAACATTCACTTAACTTATCGATTTGATTATGTATCTGTTTTTAAGCCATCGAGTGGAAGAAATTCATTCTGCTTGTTGATTCATAACTTTTTATAATCACTCCCAGGATAGGAAGAATTGTTCGACATTCTAACATTAAGATTTTTTATGCACCGGTAATAAAATTTAAGGATTTTTTTTTCACTTCGTTAGTTTATCTGTATGGTTAGAGATGGAAAATGTTACTTTCCCTAAGGTGGAGATTATGTACTTTGTCCATGTGTACGTTAGAACTTGTCAGACATAACCTACTTAAAAGTAAGGTCTACCCAGTAGGGGAGTAAAACAGATTGTTCCTATCCACTGGGGGTATTTGCTGCAGTTCTGAGTCGAAATAGAGAATACAAATGAATTAAAATACAGATGAATTGGTCCATGAATAAAATAGAAAGTTTGCATGGGAAGAAGAGAGTGACAGTCATAGATTATAGGCAAGAGACCAAATTTCATGCAAGAATTTCCTTAGTGTCATGCAAAAAGTTTTACTAGTTTATTTTATATATATATTTTTTTTTCGGATTTTTTTTCAAGAAGAATAAAACACTAAATTTATAGCACATTAAAATATAATTTGTTTTCTGAGTCGTAAAGTTTCAAGAGAGGTAAGCATCACTAATTTGAATTTGTCCTATTATTTCTCTTCAATTATAAAAAATATTATTATTATATTTTAATTAAATCCTTTATTTTTGTATATAT